GGGTTTGAACCACCAGCCGTCTGGTTAGCAGGCAAGTGTCTTAGCCACTATGCTACCAGAAACAGTAGGTTGCAGTTTTGATCTGTTCTGGGGGCTTGTCTTTGTGGCATGCTTTCAGTGTCTATAGGGATGATATTTATTCTTTTGATAACTTGATAGGGAATTTGACCTTGATTCTTTTTGTTACTTATTTTTATATGAATTTCGTTTACCTGAAATAGAAGATGAGGTGGGATTCAGTGGGTTTTTTTTTTTTTTTAACTTATGAGCACTTTCTTTTCTGTTGTGTTTGTGTAAACCAAAAAGCCAAACTCAGTGCTGTTGAGTCGAATCTGACTCATGGCGACGCCTCCTTGGGTTTTCAAGGCAATATCTCTACAGAAGTAGATTGCCCAGTCCTCTTGCCGAGCAGTGGCTGGTGGGTTTGAACCACCAACCTTCTGGTTAGCAGTCACATGCCTTAGGCACTACGCTACCAGATCTCCCTGTGTTTGTATAGTGTTCAGAAATATGGTGGCTTGCTTTCTGAGATTTCTTGGCTCAATACTTGCCTTGGCTGCTGGATTTTGATTCCACTTCTAACAACTTCTCCTTAATTTGGAGTCTTCTACTAGAAAGAAGCTCTGTCTGGTCAAATTTGGAGAGTTGACAGAGGCTCGACTATTCCAGGCTATTGGCCTTTGCATTCTTGGGATTGGAGATATCAGAGACCCTCTTATTTGTGTACTGTTCACAAATTGGCTCATGGAGAATACTTGTTGGCTATTTGGGGTTTCTGGGTCCATCAGATACCTTCAGTTGCCTTCTTTAGACTTCTCCCACATAGATAGTGCTACCATGCAGCTCATGTAGCTATTGGTGATTTATCCCAGACTGCTTAGATTTGCGGTTTATTGGAATACCTTTAGTTTGTCGTAAATACTGCTCGGGTCTTTACCTGAAAAAAAAAAAAAATCACATATATATATATATTTAAAAGAGCTCTGGTGGCATGCTGCCCAAGGCATTTGACTACTAAGCAAATGGTCCAAACCCACCATTCGCTTCATGGAAGGAAGACAGGCAATCTACTTATATAAAGATTTACTGCTGCAGATTAGCCAGTGGGGGTTGCTATGAGTCGGACTCAACTTGGTGGCAATGGGTTTGTTTTTTGGTCATATTATCGACTTCATTCCATGGGGTGACTGGTGGGTTTGAACCACCAGCCTTCTGGTTAGCAGTCACATGCCTTAGGCACCACACCACCAGAGCTCCTACACACACACACACACAC